TATGAACACAAAAAGATTTTAACCAAACAACATGGCGCTTAATAAATGACGGCAATTCGCAACCTTGTACACTACTGAGCAAAACTGCGGTTACTTGCAACATTTTATTTGAAAAATTAAGGACAAAACCTAGCTAATGAGACAAGGCGCTTGACTGAAAAAATATGGTTGGTTTAGGGCCGATTTCACCAACATTAATATTATGGACCAATAGGAAATTACCTTATCGAAATGCAATTTGAGGTAGGTATGAGCTATATTTTTCCATGACTATTACCAATAGGTCGAATTCTGACTTGGCGTCAAAATTGTGTCTTATGGCCCTTTCAACTAATATTCTGCATTATCTGTTTTTTCTTGAACCATATACAGTGTATTCTTAATAAGTGTCTAACATTTCAGATACCAATTATTTAATATTATAGCACAGCTTAGATAACAATCAGCTATGAAACACTCCTGTTACTATCGAAACGACCGCCATTTCGGCGGAGAATGCCGAATGTAAATTCCCCCAGTACAACGATGAAAGAAGTTTTAGGGCCGATTTCACCAACATTATTATGATGGACCAATAGGAAAATACCTTATCGAAATGCAATTTGACGGAAGCTGTAAAAGGTCTCTGAATATCAGTGATTTCTATTAAAATATTGAATAAAATCGTGAAAGTAATTACTGAAAAATAAGAGCTAACAAGAATTATAAATAGTGATAAAATATTGGTGGTTAAGGTTTTTGACTGGTGGGGATACAATATAGGGATGGCGATGATAGACGATACATTGATGTATCGAAAACATCGATACACCGGACGTAGAACATCGATCTTTACGCATCGATGGTTTCATGACGATATATCGATATCGAGAGGAATCATAAACATCCGTAACTGTATACCCCGAGTCTATCCTTAACTGTGCTACCATCTCTAAGCGAGGACTGGTAGCTTCGAAATTGAAAGGCCAGAAAGCTATTTAGGTGTTTAGTAGTATTTGAATATTATCATTACAGACGAGCACTGAGCCACTGAGTGGCCACTGAGCACTGTAGTCTTTTCTTCATTATGTACTTCCCCAAGGGATAGAATAAAATAGACTGAAAACAGCGCGATTAATGATTTTCAGTTCTCAGAGAAAGATTTTCCCCTGCCGGCCCTTGACATCGTTTCGAAATATGAAATTCTGTAAACGCTATAAAAGTAAAAATGAATACACAAAGCCTACTTACCTATTTCAGACAAAAACAAAAACAACTGCCACATAACGATTGTCACCTTGACATCATTCTGCAATCTGTCAAAGTAGTGATGGGCGTGCCTGCTGCACGGTATACGGTATCGATATTCGATACAATATTTTTCTTTCTACCATGAATGCGCGGAAAAAACAAAATAAGGAGAGATCTAAAATAAGGAGTTATTGAAGGCCTAAAATAGCCAGGCGCTAATAATTCCCGGCCGTATTTGAATATCTAAGCAGGCACAGTAAAACAAAAATAAGACTTGGAGTTAATAAAGTTTATTTCGACAGTTGGCAGAGTTTGCTCCACTGGGACTAAGTGTTGACGGATCCCACAGAATAATGTGTCACTTGTCGATATGGTTAGTTTTAAAATATCAGGAGATAATCAGCTGTTATTCAAATCAGTGTATATGTTTTGTGATTCAAATAACGTCTAATATAAATATAACCCAGAATATATATTCAGTGAAAAAAGAAAAATATTGCAAATTTCTAGTTTTTCTGCAGGTTTTAGGTTTGCTGGTAGCTCTACGACATATATTTGGGTAGTTCTTAATCGCTGTAAATATAGTGTGGATGTTTGTTATGTTCCTGAACAACGAAAAATATTCAACTTTATGAATGTATGGATATTAAAAAATCAGAATGATTTTGTGGGAATATCAATCTAAGGTGCCATAATGGTTCTGATGAACGGCAAGAGTAAATGAATGAATGTTTGGAAACGAGCAATATCTATGAACTTTTTGGTAGAGCCAGTCATCAAGTAGGTGCTTAATGGCTATCTCCTAGAGGTTTATAGGAAAAAACACCCAGTAGATGATCTTGAACCAGTAAAATCGCATATCAATTGAAGAAAATAATATAAACATGAATAAAAAATCAACAGTAGTAATTATATGTAACTTCTTAATATTCAATAAGCTAATGATGTTTCAATGACAAGATGTCATCTCATACTTTGACAGTATTTTGTTTTCAACATTTCAAAGCTATTAGTTGATAAAATTTGTTGATTGGAACTTGAAGCTCATTCGCTGTATTTGACGGGCTGTTACCCTATAGGTGGAGAATAACGGACTGTTGTTGGTGAAATTGGCCCTTACTCTAGCGAAACCAATGACAGATTATAAAAAATAAACTCGCAACGCCGCAAGTTGGCTCCTCTTATCATGTCAGGTAGAACGAGATGCGTTCCTCAGCTGTTACCTCTCTAGTATCCTCTAATTAAGGAAATTTCCTCCAGTGGAGTATTAAACTTTCCGAGTGTTTTCGGCATGCTGCCGCCGTCGCTGCCTTGCCGCAACTTTCTTCCCGCAGCAACTTCTTGCATGTTGGGACGAGATTAATACGAAAGTTGTTGACGGAAATGTTCCGGAGTTCTCTGATTAAATATATGGAAAATTTAATAACACCAGTCGAAAATTTGATAACGGTGGTCTCATCAAAGTGCATCAGATATTACTTTCTCGGCAAGTATTTTGATTTCTAAAATTGGAAACTCGATAGCAAATTACCACTAACACTAATATAAAAGCAAAATAGGATTTTAAAAAAAGGACTTCGAATTTCCACATTCCATATGCTTATTGCACAATTGCACCAGGTACTACCATTAATAAATGTATTGTACTGGAAGATAGCCAATCTAATGGTATATTTCCGCGTCCAATGAGGTATCGTAGTTAAAATGAAATATACTTTGAACTTACGTTAGTGTGTCACAGACAGCGCTGTAGTTCCCTATATGAGATGATATAGACTGCGCAATCTATGAGACAAGAACCTTCACAAAGTATATACAGGGTGCTTCAAATTCGACCCTCACTATTGGGATCTCAGAAACTGTAAATCCCCGTACAGACCGAAAATCCAACGCCGAGCAAAGGAATGCCAGCACATGTTACGTTGGCATTTGTCCTTGGAAGGTATTGGAATGCGCTCGTCTACACGTCTTCTACACCTAAATTTAGTTTCGAGTTGGACCGCGTTGGGTTAGGTTCAGTGCAAATGTCGAGCGACTAAATACCAGAAGCGCAACAGATCCTGTTCAGACTAAATCAAACCTCCCTTTGATGTGATCAAGGTGCGAACACAATCAAACGCCAACGCCCACCTTGGAAACCGAAATTTGTCTCTTGAGCTTTCGAAAATATTTATTTTCTTCTTGAGGGCATACTACAAAGGGAATGTCAATTGAAGCCATAACGATATCAATGAAAAATATACTTACAACGTGAAGTTCTTTCTCATGATCAGCAATCACAGAATAGAATATTGATTAATATGAACACAAAAAGATTTTAACCAAACAACATGGCGCTTAATAAATGACGGCATGTACACTACTTAGCAAAACTGCGGTTACTTGCCACATTTTATTTGAAAAAGGAAGGACAAACACGTCTTCTACACCTAAATTTAGTTTCGAGTTGGACCGCGTTGGGTTAGGTTCAGTGCAAATGTCGAGCGACTAAATACCAGAAGCGCAACAGATCCTGTTCAGACCAAATCAAACCTCCCTTTGATGTGATCAAGGAGCGAACACAATCAAACGCCAACGCCCACCTTGGAAACCGAAATTTGTAAGACTGAGAAGAAGAGAAATGAATCGAGCAGTGAACAATGCTAAGAGAATAGTCAGTCTTTGCCTACAAAAGAACGGATAACATCTTGAAAATCTGCTATGATGGACCTCTGCTTATTTATGACTATTATTGTTATGACAAGAAATAAAATTTTCATTTTGTGTTCAGGTTCCACCACATCTTTTAATTCCTTTCCTTTCCTTATAATTTCCAACCAAGAACAAATGCATCTCCCACTAAGGAAATACATCAGCAAATTCAAGACTGAAATGTCCATTTAAATGTACAAAATTCCAATATAACGTCCGTATGAAAAAAACAAAGTTGGCGTTGGAAGACGAAAGAAGAAATGTCGAATTGTAGAGGAGAATAAGTAACAATGACAACATGCAATTTATTTTGAGATCTCATCTCAAACAAAGTTAGGAAAAAGCAACACCACGCAGCTTTTAAATCCCTGGTTCCAATAAGTCTCCATTACAAAGATTAACTTCGTAAATTTAAATTCAGTTTAACGCTCAAAAGATATCAGTATCACATACACAAAATAGGTGTTATGTATCTCTATCGACTGCGCATGATTTCGTTCGAAATTTAGTACAAAAATTTATTTACGTGACAAACGGCATTGACACACGAGCAAAAAAATAGGATACACCATACGATCCTTGAAAATGATGTTAATTTATTTCAGAATAAATCTGGTATGCGAAACAAATGACTATCTAATAATTTCGTGACCTACCTAGGAAATTCCGCTTTTTTTAAATAACTTCGGTTAACTTTGGTCAATTTCGACGTATTGTACATTTTTTGGAGTCAAAATTAAAAACTCTATTCATCTATGGAAAAATCCAATATGGTGTCCATAAAATAATAAAGTTGGTGCTGCAGGTCAAGAGACGAAATTCTAACTATGCCTTCTTGTAGAGGTGAAAAAGTGGCATTATTAATGTGCAATTCATTTTGAAATCGCACTACTGATAAATAAATCATCATTTGGTTACCTACCTAGATACGCAACTTTGTCCCTATTTAAGTTTCCGAGATCCCAATGGTAAGAGTTGAATTTGAAACTAGCTGTATCACGCTACATCTTATCTCTAATAAGTTTTTGGATGCAGTCATATAGAATATCTTCTATCACTGCAACCTGCATTTCTCTGGGATGCGGGTAGGTTATCATTCTACTTGAAAATAGCAGTTAAAGTAGCCTTGGAAAGACTTTGCGTGCTTTTTGGATAAGCTTGTATTTTTATGTTTTGCAAAATATTTATTTCTTTAAAATCTATCTATCTTTTCACCTAAGACAGCCAAAAATCAATTTAGGAACCCATTTTGAAAAGAGTTGAAGTGTGTAATTGCTACTACATCATAGATGGCGCTAAGATCTTTTATCCCTTTTGGGCGCCTCTGTAATCCCTATTTTAGTTGGGAATCTTCAGATGGAATAGTTTAATCAATTCCTTTAACCAACTGAAATAGGCGTTAGAGATGCGCCAAAAAAAGGGTTTGAAGAGCGTAGCGCCAGCCATCTATGAAACAATAGCGAACCAAGTACTAGGTATTTTTAAAGTGGTTTTCTAAATTCACTTTTGTGATTTGAAAGTGTACTATAGATGCCGCCAGCAAAGCATAGCTATCCTCGCATAGGATACGTTCATCGATGGCAAAACACAGATAGTAATAGCTAGTACGTAGTACAAATTTTGAAAAAATCATAGTCTGCCAGTAAGTCTCGCAGAGTTACATTTGTTTGACTACCAATAGGTGCTCCTTGACTACCACAAGCCTGCAATGGAAGGTAGATGAGAAAAGGAAGCAAAATGCCGTGGATAATAATTCTTTTGTATCAGAAGCCGAGTGTAGCGTCTGGCGTGTGACGTGCCGTGACGCACATCAGAAATGACGAAGGTGTTGCCGACCAGCGTGCGGTACAAAGGGTCTTTAGCCAACACAAAAGGGCCGGATGACGGAGACCGAGACGGCTCACGCTCCCTCAGCCCGCTATCCCGACATACACACACGCTTTTAATTACAAAATTTCGCACCTTCGTTCTTGAAAGGGGCCGTGCTGTGGTTTGTAGTGACAGAGACGTCAGCTTTCAAAAATACACGTGCGGCACGCTTGTTTTATAACTGTGATTCAAGGCCCCAATTTTCTAATCCGGGGTGCCAAATTTGCGTTAATGGCGCAAACTTGACCAATGAAAAGGCATTTTTGAAGTCGTGGATCTGACGAATATGGTCGATTTCTCGTAAAATGTCTCTCAAACTTGAAAGAATTCTTACGATTTTTATAAGATGTCCCCCTAGTTCTCGTACTATATCAAGAAATACTTCATAAATCATCTGGCTCAGATACAAAAACCTTTTTTTTTCATTTGGCTCCGGACTCAAAATTTGCGACGGAGACGCAAATTCGACCAATCAAAAAGAAGGAAATGCGGCCTCCTTGGAACTTCAATCAAACCTAATACCATATATTGATATTGCAGCAATTACTGAGCATTATATAGAAAATAACAATGTCACTACGTACCTGAGAGAGATAATTTAAAAAACTACTTTTATGGTCTACACTAGCTTAGAGATAAGTCTCCTGGCTTAACATCTAATGATACTACTGGCGTGCCCTCTGCTAGACAGTGGACCGAAAACATGACCTCTAACCGCACCTTTTCACCGTCACTGTGGACAAAAGTGCGGTCGTATCGGCCTGTTCGGAATATACGAAACTCTGTCTGGTAGACTTATCGCGCGGCGCTACCGTGATAGAAAGCTCTGAGGAGCAAAGTGAATAAAATAGAGCCTGTTCATGAAACAAGACTCGTCGATCAGTAGAACAACCCTCCTCTAAACAGTATCGAGGCTAAGTTTTATCTAGGCCTTGTAAATAGTAAGGAGGTTATGTGGAGAAAAATATTTCTTAAGCCTAAACAAAAAGCGTAGCTTTGGTAGATCTCGGCCATCCATCGAAATCGGATTAGCACTAGCTGCTTCTGGTCAAGGTACAGTTCTTTGTTTTAAAAGCTTTAAACTGTACCAGATTGTTGCGTACCAAAGCAGTGATAACCTGCAGATATCTTGATCAGAAGCAGAAAAGGAGGTTGTTGATTTGACATTGTGGGATGAAGAGGACCCGGCAATTACGATAGATACATTGCGGCAGATAGGAAATCAGCCACCCAATGCAGAGCTTGCACAGCTGATAGAAAGAGTTAGTGATATCAAGAGCAACGACATTAGCTTAACCCTTTGACGGAAAGCGTTTACTGTACAGTTGCGTGACGTAAGCTAGGAAGTCCCCCGTCGCTCGCTGGTTCTGGAAACCATACTCCCTATCGCTAATCTAACCGTGCTATTCAAGATGCTCTAGAACAGGGTTTCCCAGCCTTTTTTTTGTTGAGGCTCCCCGGACTATAAATTATATTTTCATGCCCCCTTTACGTTTATCAATGAATACAAAAAAATGCAAATTATATAGGTACAAAGCCTTTTATTTTAATTCTAATAAAGAAACTTAAAAAGTTTAAATAGACTAATGAATCTTTTGAAAAAAACAAGAGTAGGTACTAATGAGACATTTGCATGTTCTGTACCAGTTGGTTGATTCTAGGTTCTGTTTTTGCGACATCAAGACGATTTCGCTGTTTAGTTCCAATTAAAACTAGAGCAGAGAAGCATGTCTCACATAAGTAAGTTGAACAAAAAGGAACTAGTATTCGTAAAGCAAGAGAGGCAAGTGTCGAATAAACAGGCAATCTTTTGAACAAAAATTTCTCCAATGTTAAAAGATGGAAGTCATCTTTCATGGACGAAACTGCCTTCATTTCTAGAAATTCTTCCTGAACTTCTTCTGGTAATTGTGACACATCGACAACAAATGGATTTCTTGTCATGTGCCATATTGGTGACTCTGAATTGATGTCTCGATAATATCGGGGAAAATCGTCTTCCAGCGCTTGCAAATGAGTTTTTCTGTCAGCTTTTAAATTTGTGTCCAAATGAAGCTTTGAGATGCTGTGATAACTTCCCGGTTTATCGTCTTCAAAACCAGAGCAGGATGTTGTAGTGCTTCAAATGCCTTTCAAGGCGATTGGGCCTCATGCTATCATTACTTAAGACTTTCATACATATCACAAACTGAAGCAATTGTAACTCGTCCTTTTCTATGAAGGTAAATCCAAACTTAACATAACCTTCGGAAAATTTTATTTTTTTCGCTGCCATTTTGCACTTATAACAATAAAACAAATAAGTAATAAATAAATAAGCAAAATACCTACATGTAATTACTAATTATATGCCCAATATTTTATCTTAATAACGTAATGTATTCAACAGTATATTGGCCACCGGGAGATTTATATTTTTGTAGGCATCTTCACGTTATAATAGTAATTTTAAATACATTTGGAATCAATATTAAGTACTTAAAGTTCGTCGTTTCTAAATTATTCCGCCACGTTGGTTTGACTGTGATGTGGTAAAAAAGTCCCAATGGCCGATCTATGAACGCGTCTCCACTCAATCAACAATTTAGTAAATTAAATAAAAATGGTAACTGAAGTTTGTAAATACACAAACTTACCTTTTAACAGTGAGACACAATAATTTGATACATTCAAACAGATTTCTCAACAATCGAAACGTCAAATTTTTCGCAAGTTTGTGGGAATGAATGTCACAGATGCTCATCCGCCTCTGGTAGGTACACAATTAATTGTTTTCTAAGTGATGTTAAGCGGAGCGCGGTGGGGGTGCGCGCGGATTTCATGTTGTGACTTGTCGAAACTTGTATAAACTGCGATTGACGACGCCGGGTTTTGAAAAATCGGTTGACAGAATAAGTGAATATGATATTTAATTTCTAATTTTTTGCGTGTAAATTAAACATCACATTGTAATGTTATTTGTTAATATTGTTTGTTAATTTTTTTTTGTTTTTTCTTTCTAAAATACAAACGCTTTCCGCACCCCTTGACATCTCTCCATGTCCCCCTTGGGAGGCGCGCCCCCCTGGTTGGGAACTCCTGTATAGAAAGTCCAAATTTATCCTTCATCAACCTACTAATAAGAGAAAGCAAAGCTATATCTACACCTGTAGTTGTGTTAGGGTCGGTTAGATCCTTTTTGGGACAGGCTGGATATGAGTTTCACACAATAGCCAGAACATAAAGTGCTCAATATCAATTAGTTTTCAATTTGGAGTCTCCGATTCATGTGACACGATATTGTCTCTGTCGCTATAAACACTTGATTATCTACTTGCTCTGTGAAAATGGTACAAAACAATACCAGCGTTGCTATCGGCGGCGTTTTCATTTTCAATTCAGCTGACAAATGGCAGACCTTTTGTGAAAATTGCCTCACAAATCGATGGTTTGATTTTACAACCGATAAATCGCAAATTATGAATCCCGCCGGAATTTTTATTTTTTGTTCAGTAGTTCTACGTATTGGCAGTGTAATATTTCGCAGATGAACGATTCATGGGGAAATATGTCACAATAGGATTTTCGAAAAAATATATTTTTACGCCAATTGGCGAAAATTTTCCAAAACGGGATATTATCTTTAACTAGCTGTTACTCGCAACTTCCCTTGAAGTTGTTACTTACATAAACCATTGTTTTTACGCAATTCTGTAATATCTGATTGAGTTTGATAATTTTAATGACCCTCGTAAATTATCAGTTAACTTGCCTGCGTACGATGTTGGGTTGCTTTTTAGCTTATACACCTTTAGATCAAAATGTTGTTACAACGACAAAAGGCACGGTAGGCTTCTAAAGTTTGTCTATTTTAAGATTAAAGATTATGTAAGTGTTTATCCTTCTGCAGACGATACTATGTCCTTGTATTTGTATGTTTGTTAAAACGAAAGTTAGCAGTCAGACAGAATATGACACAAAATTTGTCTACGCGACTTTTTGTGATTGTCACATAAATGTGCAATAGTTGGTATACAGTGACGCCACGTATACATTCTGTCGGTAAAATAGCGGGGTAGAAAATTAGGTAAAAAGTTGTAAAAGAACCTAGATCCCTCATTTAGCCCCTTTCACAAGGTTCATCATAGGTTTAAATCCATTCTAAACAATATCGTTGTGACCAATTTTTAGATATCTGGAAAAAAACTCGCAAAGTGGCTTCCAGCTCCCTTACTCCGACCCTGTCACAAAATCCGTTCTTAATAGACATGTATTTCCTATCACATTCTAAGTCTCTAGTGGAAAAGCATAGAATTTTTATAAAATCTTATGGATGCTTTTAATTCAACCCTGTCGCTGAATCCTTTCTTAACTGACATCTGCTGCTTATAAAATATCTCTAGCAAATTTTTGTTCTCTAGTAGAAAAAAAAGACTTTCATGAAAATGTGAACATGCCCTTAGCCCCCCTTAATCCAGCCCTGTCGAAAAATTCTTTCTCAAGACAAAGTTACTACTATGCCAAGAACGAAACAGCATTGTAGGTCTTGAAATGTCCAGTGGCAGCGGATCTACAAGCGTAAAAAGGAAAAACAAAAGTCGCTCGATCCTCGTATTTTGTTGTTTCAGGGACTCATGCTGATTTTTGTAAATTTCTTGATGCAAAAAATTGGGGATGTGGGGTTATAGGAGTGGAGGAGAGTATATAATTATTTGGATTTTATATATTTATCCGCTTTCTAAGCTCGGCAGTTTGTTTAGTATAGTTCTTATACTTTGGTGTATCACTTCACTTTATAGGATTTCACATTTTTTCACATCTTCGGTTCTTTCGCTCTTTCAATTGGGATTAGATCTATTATACCAGATAAATAGCTTTTCTCATTGTAGCACGCAGTATCTTTCTCTTCAATGTTTCCACAAACAATGGAAAATACGTTTCAGCTTACAGCATCAAACCCTCCGAAGCGAAAGAAAAATTATTCTGAAGGAAATTCAATTTTCAAATCCTCAGTTTTTCACGAGTATATTCTCGACGTGTTGTGCATTCCTTACTTCCCAAATATGCTACTGTATTCTGTTTAGTATTCTGTGCAGCTTAACGCTTCGGAAGGAGAACGTTTGCTGCTGTTTGCTTTTGCTCTCACCTGATTGCAAAAATTTCTTTTTAAGATAATACCGACTCCTCATCTCCAACGTGGCACATATTTTTGATGATACGAGGAACAGATGAAGTGTTTGCTGGCTGAACTGTTCAGATCCCTCTCGTACCATTGGAATCACGGAAACGCTAAGACATACGAAGTCGGTTAAATGGGGGTAAAGTAAAAGTAACTAACTAAATGGCACTTAGAAATCTTCACAATTCTGAATATTTCTGGACAAAGATGGAGAAAACCGAATTTTTCCAAACTCATTTTTATTTTTTCCAGACTATTTGAGGCGGAACTGCAAAACAAAAAGTTCATTAACATTGCAACGTTTTCTCATCTACAATATGGCTTAATTAGAATTTCAATATGACGTTTCGTAATGATGGAATTTTGCACAGTTGGATAGAATTCTTGATTCTGGTTTTAAATTTAAATAAAAAATGTGTCAAACATTGACTTTGTCAAACATTAGTTATTTAAAAAAAACAGAATTTCGTAAGTAAGCCTTGTAATTGTCAGATAGTCATTTGTTTCATATCGTCAGAAAAACATTCCTTCAATTTTTATGATAATGTGTATGTATATATAATACATACCATGACATGGATTAGCAGTTGGTTTTAACTATGCATAACTCATTAGTAAAACGTTTCATATTATTTAAATGTATAAAAAAGCATTGAAAACAGTATTATTTTATGTAACTTATAGATACGCATATCTGCCGTATCTAAACCGATGCACACATCTTGCATTCAAATACCATAAATCTACGGCTGAGGTGTCATATAGAGCATCTCCGTCGTGCTAAAATAACGCTTATTATAAACCTCTCTAAAATTGAAGAATTTGTTTATTGGTCGAATAAACTTGTCATATACTGTCACTTAAAAAGTTAACTAGAAGAATATAAAAACATATGACTTTATACCTTTTGGTAATCAGTAGTAAAAGCTCTATTTAACCGACTTCGTATCTCTTACCTTTTCCGTAATCCTAGTAGGGAGAATAGAATCTGAAACACCCGATTTATTAGAGCAATAGCGCGAATTAACCGTGCCCTACACCAACGAGAAAGATAATCTGACGAGGGCTTCTTCTTTTATCAGACACCTCGCTCTTCCATGTGTGTTTCTCTCTCTATCTTTCTCGAGCCCATTGAATGTGAATTCTCAATTATTTCCTGCCGATTCTGTATGTCCAACTGTATGTAGTCCACGAGCCTACCCTAAATTTTTTTTCAAATTTCAAATCGCAGGCGTTCACAAACTCTGTTCACACGAACTCGCTAACACGATTCTGTCTGGCCGTACCCTCGGTTGGTGGAGTATTCATATAGAATCATCTACTTAATTCATAATTCCGACTCTTTCGACAGTTTGGCGGCTGCAACTTTGCTAATGCCGACGAATATGCGAGGAGTTGAAGTGGAATGGAAGTTGCACCCAATTCTCTCGCTGCTTCCCTACCAAAACTCCGGAGATTAGTTCACGCAGAAATAACCTTAATTAAAGGATCTACCTGCCATGATAGAATGGCAGATGGTTGCGGAAGCGTTACAGCATCTGCTTGCCTTCGATAATTAGTTTCAAAAAACAAGATGTTACAGAATCTTGTATCGAAAATTGAAGGTAAAATTCAACAAGTTAAAATAAAAAAAGCTTATATTAAACATGGGCTTGAGTTCTGTTTTTTGGGATAAAATTATAAGCCACTGGTTCTTGTAAAAATGAGTATCTTTTTGCTAAATCGCCATGCTTGAAAAGGGTACCTTGAAGTTTTTCGTTCGTTCATCAAGCAAAGTATCAGCTCGATTACTTTACTTTATTTACAACGATGAACAGAATGATGTACTGTTTGCTAATAGTACGTTACATACCTTGGTGGATAAGTATGTTATCATAGGCCAAGCAGAAACGCATCATAGCGCCGAGGGATATAATATGCAGGGATTATAATAGCCTTTTGCACCATCGGATGTATAAATTTTTTTCACTGTGATACATTACCACATTTTAATTTGATTAGGCTTTGCAATATTACATATCTGATAATTTAATCAACGTCTGACAACATTGTAAGATAAAGCCGATGCAATTTCTTCATCACGGAATGGTACGTAGGAGAAGGACGCTGCCGCTACATGATAGTGTCAGATAAAGATAGAATATGCTACTTAAGTCGAAACATCATTCGTTTCTACTCATTTTCTAATGATTCAATTCATCAAATAGCCTGGGACTTTCGAACTGTCAAAATAAATATAACCAGCAACAATAGTTCCAGCCATACCATATTCTTTATATACTGGTAGTACAGAATAATTATTTGTAATGTTCAAAAATGCATAAAGGATTTAATAGAAGTGGCAGTTGTGTGTCCAGCAAGCCAAAGAATTGCACACATTCATTATTTACCTAGGAGAAGAACTGCGACTTGTTAGAGGAATGCGGTAAATAATGGCGATTTCTCAGTTTGGAAGTGAATAAAAGTTTTCGAAAAACACGCATAAAAGATGGACCACACTATAGACTACAGGCTCGAAATTAACCTTAACGAAAGTCACCCATTTCTGAACATATGTTGCTAGTTCTTTAATGATCACTAAACTTCCGGAACTTAATCGTCACACCACGTAGAAGGACCATTCTTGCCGTACGTCAAACAGAGGGCACTATTGATAATTTCGATTCTCGATTTCAATCTGCTCTTTTTCTTTTCAGCTGATCGACGTGAAATCCCCCCCGCCAGCCTCCGGCGGCATAACCACCTTGCACTACCCGTCCGGCTACCCTATTTCCCGCCGCCCCCCTGTCTTCTTATGCCCCTCTCCTGGGCCTGATCCGTACCGCCCACACCAAAACCACGCCTCCCACCACCACCGAATGGGCGGAACGACGCATCGATTGGGCGGAGCCTCCCATCACCTCTACGAAGAGCTGTCGGAGCCGGCGGATGACGATATGAGTGATCCGCCTCTGTCGGAGGATGACTTCGCTGAGGATGAGCTGAGTTTGGCCGGCGAAGCAGATGGGAGGAGACTGGACGGACCGCCCCCTCCGCCGTACAGAGAAGAGGATGAGTTGGTTATGGATGCCGGTGGGGTGATCAGGAGGGATGTACCTAGGTGAGGATATGATCTTTCTTATTTAACTCATTACGGTCTTCTGGTAAAGAGGCGATATTCTCAGCTAATGTTTCGATTATTCGGTATATCGGAAAAACGCCGGGTTTAGCTAAGATGACCATTTAAATGCACCTGTATTTTACTCATACAATTATGGAATGAGTAAATCTAAAATCCTGTACAGAAGGCGCCTAATACAATATACATGAATACACTGATTAATAGGTGCCTTTTCATATAAAAATATACATTCACTAAGACATAGGTACACTTAAAGATATATCCAGAAAAAATATCACCAATTCATGGTCGATACCACGATTATTAGTGGCCTATGATTTAGGTCTTTTATCGGCGATTAAATGACACCCTTACAAAATAGCTCAGCTTTAACATTCAATTTGCGATGTAGGAATGTATCTATCAAACACAACAAGTGTCGTTAGCTGAATTTCATCAAATAATGAGACATCTTACGTACTCATTCACTTCAGGCTAACCTTACAATGCTAACATAATTAATTTCGGCATGGTGTTACCTGGTTAGGATAACTTAAACAATGATGTTACCGGTTCGAATGCTGTCTGTCTGCAGTTAAGTTACATGTGTAATTAAGCAGGCATCATCAAACTGTTGTTGCCATTTATACTACGTATGATAATCGGTTGTGTAACACTGGTGATAACTTACTGTATGATGTTTGAAGGCTCATTTTATATTCACTGGCACTTAAGTAATGATTTCACAGTCCCATTGGTCATTATTTTCAGTTGTATAGTATTTATAACCCTAATTGAAACTGCCAAAAAACAGGGCTGACAGAACAAAATGCCTCATCGTTGATTCTACGAGTATATAAAAACGCTACAGTCCAGAAACGGTATCGCGATCATGACTGGGATAATCACGAGTTATCAGAAACCGTGCATGAAAAATGACGGTATTACATATCAAAATTCTGAAATACTGAAACCTGTCGGTCTAAAGTGTAACGCCTATGGCAGCTCTCTTTCACGTTACGCCAACTTGGGTTTTCATACGGTTTCAACTAGGCACGGATATACTACAGTAGTTGACGTATGCTCATATTGATAACTAGATGAAAGTAGAACCTTAAAAAATCACTAAAACCTTTCATTAACCTTTAAATTGAGATTGCTATTATCTCTGTTTTAGGTTTCGTAGGCCTCACGAACCTCTACCTCCAGTGCCAGGCAACAAGAGGCACAAAAGCTTAGATAGACGGAGACAAGAGTTCCATGAAGGAATGCTACTAGATGCACTGCTTCAACTATATCCTAGAGTAAGTAAACATTCATTGAAATTTTTATTGGCACAATGAATTTCTGATTTCAAGGAAGGATTTAACATTTACTTTCTACAAGTAGTTTTCATCACAGGTTGTAAAAATGTGGAAATTTTCAAGCTACCAAAATTATTAAATTCACAAAATTCTTGATTTTTCGACATCATCAAATTTTCCAAAATCTGCGATTTTTTTACATGTCTTCAAAATTTTCGGTACTTTCATAATTTTCAGTGTTTTCAACATATTGAAAATTTTTACGATTCTGAAAAAATTAAAATGTTGAATGTCTCAAAAATAATGGGTAATTTCAAAATTGTGAAATTTTTGTTGGCTTTGAAATTTTTGAAAATATTGATTATCAAGGTAGTGCATCGACCAATCTACTCCGACTTTTGGCGATGAATAAATGAATTTAATCGTGGCCGCCATTCTCTTCGTGGAGAAAGTGGAAAAACTAATAATGCAAGATCGTCATGTGACATTGTGGGATTGGGGCAACCTAAGGCATTAGTTTCACCAGCTTACATAAAATATTACATGACCATTTAGCTATGACAAGATTTGTTCTCGTTGGGTCTCGCATAATTTGACAAAAACTCAATAAGAAGCTCGTGTCGATTGATGCAACGATGCGCTGGGAAAAAGTTCGGCGCGCACGAAGCAAACAAATGGCGTCCGTTTTTTTCGGAAAAACTGATCATGTGAAAACAGTAGTTTTATAGGAACGTATAACGGTTAATTCTGAATGTAAGACAACCATTTGTTTGCCTCGGTGAAATAACGAAAACCAAGAAGCGCCGGATGAGTATTTGAGCGCTCAGAATATTGATTTAATGGGTCATGGGTCATCTCCAGACACTCCTGATTTGTTCCCGTACGTCAAAAATAAATTGCGTGGGCAATTGTTTTCATCGGCAGAAGAAGCTGAGCCTTATTTTCTTCTCAATCTAACAATTTTATTTTGGTCTAGGTAGGCAGCGTGGAGCCCCCAGGTGTGAACAACCAAAACCTCCAAACCCAAACTGCAAACCGTCGGGTGATACCCAGCATAACCCATCGTCTGCAATGCATGGGCCAAGCGCCATCTGCAGTCGGTCCGTACGAATCAGTACCCGTCATTGGCCACCACTTGGCCACATTTAGGCCACTCAGCAATCACAACCATAAGCCATACTCGCATGACTCTGCAATAGGGTCTGATAGCGGTTATAGCAACCATACAGGGGGGACCAGGTAGTTGGAACCTAACTAGCATTTGGACGGGAGTAAGAGTTTGTATTTGTAGTATTTGGCTTGAATGATCCTAAAAATAGTCTTATCATTAAAAGATATGCAAATCAGATAAGATCAGAACGAACTAAAGCTCGATTATAGATCGAATTAACCTCGTACATGCATGCATAGATTATAAATAAATGTGCAAGAAAAATCGAGCAAGGTAGCAACGTTTCCGAGATAATGGATCGAGAAGTTAGATAAAAAAATTACGTCCGTTCTATTGTCTATCAGTTGATATCCAATTTTTTTGTATTGTAATAAAATTCAGAATGACGTATACCTGTATGTTTTGTTGCCTATACTAGGTGTTTTAGCACTTATACTCCAGAAAACCATACCTCGTCTGACTTCCAACTTCAAAATTTCAGAAACCTTGCTGCTTAGCGCGACATCTTTTGTGACAGTATTTTATATTGTCTGCTTTTAGGAACATCCACAACAAATATTCCAAATACGAGTATTTTACCCCGCCATTGCTAGAAATGCTACCTTATTTTGTCAGTATATTCAATGATTCATATAACTTTAAATTTTACAGGGAAAAATAATAGTTATGTACCATTCTACTATCTTAATACCACGGTCATTTGTAACATGCCAGCAATATCGACATTACGTGTTATATATACATATATATATGTATAATCATTGGAAAGCGATATTAAAGGTTTCACGTTACAAGTCAAACATACTTTAAAATTTGAATACCTTGAAGTTTCTGATTTTAGACCAAGTATCAATCAACAGAAATGCATGAATATGACAAACTTGTCCCCAATTAGCTCTTAATAATGATACATTATTAATCCAGATAAGGTATTAAAATTGACATGTTGAATATTTTATAGGCTTATCTCCCATATACTTCGAAATATCCTTTATTTTATATTCATTCCTATACGTATACAGCGCTGTGTTACTAAACAAAATATTAAAAAACCCTTCCAATAAAAAATATATTGCTAAACATAAAATACAATATGTACACGAATAAATTCGCAACATTTATTCAAAATTGTAACGCCGTAAACTATCCACCATTTGCGATATTTTAGTACACGCCATGCACTACTTTCTGATATATTTATAATTTATATACTAAAATATTAAAGCATGGTCCATGGAACGTAATAACGGACAGAGAAATATAAATATATGCATTCACGCGATGATTGAAAAATGAAAAAATATCTGCCTATAGATTCGGGGGAATGGTATTCGATATACTGTGAAGTTTAATATCTGGCATCTCATATACTGGTGGAATTTTGGAATCCATATTTGCAGTTGCGTTGGATATGAATATTGCTAGGAAAATATTGCCGGATTTTTCGATTTTTCGGTACATACGAGTTAAATTGCACCGATTTCAATCGAATTATTATTATCTCACTGAAAACCGGTCTAGTTGCCAATACATGTCGGTTTTATAATATTTTACTTTAGATTTTTATGGACTCCACTCAAAGAATATTCATTCGAAAATTGTTATTCAAACTTCAAGTTAACTAGACATGCATCAGTTTCAGCCGCTTTCAACATAGAATGGAAGGGTTGTTATGAACAGTGGTACAAAAGTCCTAAAAAATGGGCAAAACTAGAAAGATTCAATAAATTCCACCAAAAATATAATTTATTCATGTTTCCGAAATCGCGGATAAGGAGTATGATATCTATTTGTTAAAAACGATAATGGAGGACATGTTTGCAAAAAAATGTTTGGAATTCTCTCAAATTTAGTATGGATTTTCCGAAAACTCAAAATGGCGAATCCAAGACAGCGGACATGCTTGCAGAAAATGCTTTGATTGCGTTCAAATTCAAGGTTTTTATATTTAGAAGGTCGTTGATGACGGATTTAATATCGATTTTCCAAAAATCTAACTAGCGGGTACAAGATGGCGGACATGTTTGTAAAAAATTCTGTTGCATTAAAATTCAGGATTGTTATGTTTTGAAGGTCGCTGATAACGAATTTAGTATCGATTTTACGAAAAACAAAAAGGCGGATACAAGATGACTTACATATTTTCAAAATTTCCTATAAAACTCTGCATAGGTAAGTCTACATGTATGCATCCAAACAGAAATTGTATAATCTTAAAACATAAGGTCGTTTTTAAAGCCCCTTAATAATACTCTCGCTATAAAATAGTCGCAAGCCTTTCAGGTATGTCGATCTTTTCAACAAAAACCTCATATGAACAGTTTCCGCTTCTCGACATGTTTCCGTGGCGATATGAACCAGAGAGCCGAGAAAATGTGTTTATTATTAAACTTTTCCCAGACCACCTCGGGAATTGTGACACGATAAAAGTAATTTTCGATCTGTAAAGTCCCAACTTTTCGCCACGTAAAGTTCTTCGAACAACGATTTGAGCATTTTCACCGGCAACTATATCAATTTAACGGCTTGCACTTTTGGTAACGATTTAAACTTTTCTGAGGTTGGATTGTGTATTGCAAATTGCGGCTAGGTATCCGAGTTTGTCCCAACCCATTGGCGCTATTCTGGAGTGAAGGAGAGTCTTCAAAATCTATTTGCTTTAAAAGCAAAAGACGTTTGTCGGGTTACTTAAAATATAACCCCCTCACTCTGTACAAGGCCCAGATAAAACCTACTCGTAGCTTCGAGTACTACTCACCTGTATGGCCTAGACTACATAACCCATGCTCGATGCCGTTAAGAGGAGGGTTGCCCGACTTATCCCCGACTCTTCTCTATAGAACATTCTCGGGACCATTTCGCACCGACAGGCGATAACAGTTCTTGCTACCTACCAGACGGACCCGCCTGACTCCGGTCTCCCATCCTGTGTCGGACTACCTACATCCAAAACTGGTCGCTACGATCGTCCCTTATCTCTAGGATTGTGTAACAATTTGCCTAAAGAGGCATTTCCTAGTTTTGCTAATCTTAGGCAGCTCAAAAATGGGGATTAACAAAGCATGTTTAAACACCTTATAGCAGCGGCGGTGCCCCGGTAGTTACGCTCTTGCCCTCGTGGCTGCTTCGGTATACAAAAAAATTACCAATTTCAACTTGTTTTCTCTAGTAGCATTCATTAACGTATTCAACATGATAGAAGACTACACGAATTTTTGTAGTACACGTATTGCATCGTTTTCATTAAGATGGATAAACTTGAATCTCGTGCTGCAATCAAATTCTTCATGTTGGATCATTTAACTCGTTTTAGCCTAATCATATTAGCAAATTTTCCCGAAATAATTGAAAAGTCTGGTTTTACATAGGCAAGTTGTTCAGGGGGTATTTAAAACATGGATGCATAGAATGGGTACACCAATTTTTGTGGGAACACTTTTTATTTGACAACAAAGAATGAGAAAACGTGTTTTTTTGGGATTCAATCGAAAGTATTGACAGGAACGAAAAAACTTTGTATATAAGATTTTTACGTATTTATGAGACCTACATAATGAGACCACTAATAGCAAAAATGTTAAAAACGAGGCTAAATGGAGGTTTTGGCACTTGTTGGTAATGCGACGATAATTTCACGCAACTACTTGAAATTCTTCAAATCCGAAGGCTTCTTACTTCTAAATAACAACAACGAAATTGGAGTATGTTGGTCAAGCAGTTTTTTGGGAATTTCTAATTGTTGATCTCAAAACACCTGTTTTCCGGCCACTAGTTCGTTCAAAGAGCATTTAGTAGCAAAATGCACGTGTTTACCTTGCTGATATGAATCACAAACCATTCCGAAAGATAAGTGTTATTTTTATGCGAAAAACAAAAGTTACGTTTTTTCCTTCAATAAAAATTTAAAAATTTCGTATTTGTAAGTAATTGAACAAATGCTCTACGATATTCGAAAAACATACGTTACTTTACACATTTTAAAACAAAGCGGATGTGTCTATCATCTTTTGTTGCGAATTACTCACAAATACAAAGTGTTTGAATTTGTTGAGAAGAAAAAACGTACCCATCCTTTTTTGCATAAAAATAATATTTATCTTCCTGAATGGTTTGCGATTTCTGTCGGCAAGGTAAACTAGTGTATTTTGCTATGAAAGGCCCTTCGAACTAACCCTGTATATTGCTCCATAAATTAGTAGTGATGGCCGGAAAACAGGTGTTTTGGGATAAACAATTAGAAATTCTCAAAAACTAACATACCTACTTGTAGAAGTACGAATCCTACGAATTTGAAGAATTTCAAACATCTGCGAAAAACCATCGCCGCATTACCAACAACCTGTAGTTTGCCTCGGTTTTCGGCCATAACCTTTTGCTATCAGTCGGACCTTTTTACTTGTGGTCTCATTTTGTAGCTCTCATAAATACCTAAAAATCTTATATGAAGAGTTTTTTTGTTCCTGCCAACACTTTCGCTTGAATCCCAAAAAACACGTTTTCTCAGTCTTTGTTGTCGAATAAAAAGTTTTCCCAAAAAAAATGGTGCACCCATTTTATGCGTCCATGTTTTGAATACCCCTTGAACAACTTGCAGCAATAAAACCAGACTTCACAATTATTTCGCAATCCGGAGGTATTTTCGTCTAATACGATTAGACAATTTATTGCAACAGTCAAAACGTGAGCAGCTAACTTTAAACGCTTTTGAAAATGGCCCACATGGAGGACGGCCAAAAACTGCAACTACACCTGAGACTATCGAAACGATCCGCGATATCGTGTTGGACTATAGCCATGTGAAGGTGAATGAGATGGTTGAAGCCATAGGGATATCGGAAGAAAGCGTGCTAAAGCTCTCTACAAGGTAGGGGAAAACGGAAGAGCAGCTGTGAGTAACGGTGTTCAAACCTCATTGATCGACTGTATGACAAAATTCATGGGAAGAAGAAAAAAAGCGGCATTTTTCTTCAGGACAATGCACCTGCTCACAAAAGTGTGTTAACAATGGGAAAACTCTGGGATTTAGGGTATGATTTGCTAGATCATCACCCGTATCCTTCTGATTTGCCTCTTTCAGGCTTCCGTCTGTTCCTAAATTTGAAGAAAAATATTTCTAGGTAGCGCTTCGGGTCCAACGAAGAAGTTGAAAGAGTCGAAGATGAATATTTTGACTATCATTTCCGACAAAGAGTCATAATGATTTTTAGCTGAAAGTTGGGATATTTCCTTGTCCGGTCGAGACCTGTTCACCTTACACTCGTGTAAAAATACTGTTATAAATTCGCAGTATGAATCAGTCTTGGAAATTCAGGAATTCTTTTTGTGTACACAATTCTAATGTGAACTCTGATGGCGTAGTTTTCTATCTCCTGTTATGCCTGGTCTATTGTCTAACGCTAGATCATCTTGGGTCAAGAACCTCGGTGTTGTGTTCTCGGACGTTAGTTACTTTCCCTTCTTACCCGAACATGGGATCTCGTAATTGAACTAAACGAAGGCGCGTCTTGGCTGTTAATTAGGCCAATTTAATCAGCTATTAATTCTGCTATCGGCCTCTATGACTGCCGGGAACATCTTACGAAGGATTGGGTGACTCAGAACGTGCTGACCTCAGGGGACTGACTTTACTGTTTCCGACATACTCGGTGCATGTATACTGTATAGTCACTTTTGTACCTAAGAGGTCACGAGGATTAAACCCAGATGCCAAATATCCCTGAAAGATCTGCGTTGCCTCCCAACGAAACAACTTTGGGTAGGAAATTTGTAACAGAAAATGCTAGCGAAGCTACAGGAACAACCAGGCACAGTCCTGCCTGTCCATCTCGCCTTTCAGCAGGGTATCAAAGTGGAGGACAACGCAATGTCTTGCAATCCTCCACACAATAAAAAAGCATTGTAGTTTTTGAGAGTCGACTAGTGGTGGCGGAGCTACGGGCAAAAACAAAAAAAAATAAAATTGCTCAAACGCCATTTTCCGACCATTCCGATGCTCCTGATCATTTTCAGAACATTTTTCGAGGCGTCCCACGGTGGTTCACAGGGCATCATTTCTGCGAAAAAAGTATCAAGATTTCTAATTTTGTTACTGGTAAATCGATTTTTATGAGCCATACCTCATTAGAGAGCTAAAGAAAATCTCTTAAAAAATTGACAAGTGTCAAAAATCGAAGATAGCGGCACTATTCAGAGCGTCCCTCAAAGGTCTTTACAAAATTTTAGCATATATTCCTGAGTTTAAAATAAGCCGATTTGAAGTAGCTTACCGTCGCGTCGTCCAAATTTCGATTTCGATTCCGAGATACAGGATGGTAAAGTTAGAAAATAAAAATCCTTTTTTTAATTCATGAAGTTAGTTTGTTATTTTTATTGTTAAAAAAACAATTTCCTCGATATTTTTAAGCAAAAAATGCACTCATGTTAAAATAGGGTTTGGTGAGCAGTTTTCGAGAAATTTGCATATTTCTGCATCAATGCAGGTTGTGTGGGGACTCTAAATCAAAATGCTCAGAACTTTACAAATTCTGAGTATGTGATACAGCCCATCAAAATGAACATTTTTTCCTATAATGTGAATCTAATTTAGTAAAAATAGCTGTAGTCTCAAAAAACTTATGACGAAGAAACGAGATTTTTTTAAACACTTAAGACCTCTGAAGTAACAACGGTTTTCTTGCAAGGCGGAAATTCTTGGTTTAACCATGCCTCATTTGTCTTTATAAAAAACTTCTTATCTTTATGACAAGGTTTCCATCTAATTTCCTCATTTTTAAAAAAATTCGTCATATGTTTGTCCAATTATACATTAATGTTTTTGTTGTGTAAAAAATATAACTCTGTTTTTGGTTCTGTTGAAATACCGCTTGGTAAATAAGTCTATATTTTTCATTTTGGTTGCAAATATTTACAATTTATATGTTGAGGTTTCTCAGACGCACATTTTAAACGTGTGCTTGAAACATGGAAATACCTGCACTTTTTTATCGGAACCCATTAGTGCCAAACTTCTGAAAAAAAATTCACGGATTTACTAAAAAATATGCCACGACAGCGCAAAGCAGCAAAATCAGTTGTTGTTTTTCCAAACGTCAACTATATTGAACTTAATAGGTCAGAGCCTTCTCTGATTACAGTTAGGTACGTCATAAGGCACGCCCAAATTTCAACAAAATTTATGATGAAAATTGATAAAAAATATTTTTTTTTGAAGTTAAGTAAATCAGAGATGAAATAATGTATGAAAAAAGAATATGTTGCAATTAGATAATTCTGGGTTTAACAAAATATTTTAACAGAAAAAGTAAAGAGAAATATAATATTTATACTTGGTTACTATTTTCGCGGAAATGGTGCCCCCTGAACCACTGTGCGTCCTTATTTTACTGCTTTCCAATCGTGAAATTAATAATTGATTAAAAAAGATCAAAGAAGGCCTCATTTTTTTATATTTAGGGACTATGTGCGTGTAACTTAGGTCTAATCTTTCCAAATTTGCATCTCAGATTAAACCAACTTAATCCTACTTTTGGGGTATTCAAAACCCTAGATGTCTTTTTTGCTGGCATAGTGTTACTTGACATTTTCAATTTGCTTGTTTAATAATAATAATAATAATAATAATAAATGGCCTTTATTTTACCTGGCGGGTTACATCAGCACAAGCTGTTTTTCAGAACCAACCAGGGCTAAAAAAAAAATCAAGTACATGCAAATACAACAAAAATACATTGAAGATAACATTTAAAGCAGAAAAAAAAAATTTTTTTTTACAGAATCGTAGCATGGTATAATGACCAAAAGACCAAAAGAGAAACGTGCAGTAACAGAGTACGTAGCAGAATCAAAAACCGTGATTAGAAGTAACTTTAAAAAAGAAAATATTAGGTATATGGCAGAAGATATAAAAATTAAAAGTAAACAGTAACAAATGTGTAAGCAAAACACAAACAAATGAAAAGTGACGAGTGAGAAAACATGCACAAATAAACAAATATAAAAACAAAATTACGTAAAAATACATGCTAGATGAAATCAAAAAAAAAAAAAAAAAATACATGCTACATGTCATCAAAGACAAAGAGCCTAACTTTTCTTTTAAAGCTGGACACAGATAAAGTTTTCAATGCTTGAGGTACTTTATTGTAGAAATCGGGCGCCACATATGAAAAGCTCTTTCTGAATTGGGTTGTTCGGTGCCGAGGCAAGTCGAGAGTATATCCTACAAAACGCAGGTTCGCTGAGTGATGATCACATCTCATGGTAAGCTTGTTCTTCAAATAAAGAGGCATTTTATTGATCATAATACTGTGGACCAATGATAATAGATGCAGTATCCACCTTTGTCGCATAGTAAGCCATTGAATATTTTTAATATGATCAGATACCCTCTCCCGCCTTTGAATACCTAAACTGAATCTTATGCAGCTGTTTTGCACTTTTTGAAGTCTGTATGCCTCGCTCTGTATTAGACATGGACCATAGACAAGGTCCCCGTATTCAAGTTTACTTAGGATAAGGGAGTCACACAGCTTAACCTTGGTCTGCTTGGACAATACATTTTTATAGCTATAAATTGACTTCAACTTAGCATAGGAACCCTGAACAACTTTGGTGACATGATCATGGAAGCACAGGTTCTCATCAAATGTGATGCCCAAGTTGCGAACCGATGTCTTGTGGCAAACTTCATCACCTCTAATACACAGCTTTATTAATTCACTATTGAATTTGCTGAATTTAGATTTAATAGTTATGATAGCCGACTTTCTAGGGTTAATACATAAGCCATGTTTGTTATACCACACACATATACTATTTAAATCCTCAGACAGCATCTCATTCGCTTCAATGTACATAGCAGGGTTGTAAGATAGATAAATCTGTGTATCATCGGCGTATGTATGTAATTTGCAGTATTTAGTGACTTTATCTAAGTCCGCTACATAAAGAGAAAACAGAAGAGGTCCAAGAATAGACCCCTGTGGTATACCTTTGGAGATAGTACCCTCCTGTGATAAGATGTCACCGATTTTTACCTGCTGAATGCGTTCATGAAAATAACTGCGAAACCAATTAATCGAACTATCGGAGAAGCCAAGATAATGAAATTTTGCAAAAAGTAGTTCATGGTTGAGGCAATCAAAGGCCTTACTTAGATCTATCATGACAGCAGTAGTAACTTTAGAATTGTCTATTGCCCCTATGAAGTCGTCACAGACATCGAGCAGAGTTGTTACGGTGCTGTGGTTTTTTCGAAACCCCGACTGCGTGGATGGAATTATCTTAAAGGTAGTGACGTGCTGCATCAGTTGCTCATATACAATTTTTTCTAATAGTTTTGATAACACTGGAAGGATACTAATTGGTCTATAATCATCAGGTCCTTCCGGAGCATCAACTTTAGCAAGAGGCCTAACGCATGCGGCTTTCCAAATTTTAGGAACTAACCCTTTTTCAAGCGAATAGTTAATTATATGAGTAATCGCTTTAGAACAAAAAGGAAACACTAGAGCTAACATATTTATATTCAAACCATCTAGTCCAACCGCCCGAGATTTTATTTTATTGAAAATCTGTAATATTTTATCCTCCGTGACCGGTTTAATAAAAAAATTTAATATTCGTGCAAATTATTTGCGTTAAGCAAACATGTTTAATTTATGTTTTTTCGTAGTGATAACTTTGACTATGCTTTTCAGAAATCATTAAGTCAAACTCTGATATGATATAGATCATGTTGCCTTAAAGGCCAGAAAAGAGTATGACTCATATAAATGAAGTCACTCAAAAAATACGATTCACCTTTGATTTTTAAAGTTAATTGTAATTTAAGATTCACACAAGATATCATTTCACCTACCTTGTTTCTACAGGATGCCCTCCTGCGTAGAGAAATGATTGTACAGTTCGCACTGTATTGTAGAATACCATGTATATAAATGTATATTACTGTATATTTAGTAATTTTCGGCAAACCAAAGTTTGTAGAACTCACATTTTCTATAATATGTATTTACTTGCCTGTATATTCTTGTATATTTTGTTCATAGTCTACTATTTATTTTTATCGCAAATATTGTATATCGAGACAATTTTTTCAAACACTGATCGACTATATTCTCATAGTTCTGACTGATTACGAATATATTGTATAAGAAATATGTAAACTGTAGAATTTTCCACTAAAAATAGGTACTTCTTAGAGGACTTTAGACTGAAGTCAGATTCAAGACACAACTAACTAAGACGAATATATGGAACAGGCCCAAATTTAAAAAAATGTAACATTCTATTAAGTAATACCATACACGATTTTGATATTGCAAATTTACTACATTTCAAACAATGAAAAAACATATCCTGAAGGTAAGTTTTCGTCAAGATGAGGCATCTTTGGTATAAACTTACTTTTAGGCTCCATTTCTCGATAATCTATATGCAACATTAGATTCGTTTAGTTAGCTGTGTTTTGGCATCGGAAAAATGTTCCACAATCACTCTTGCAAGCAATTAATAGTGTATTTTATTTAGAAACACAAACGAACTTTTATAAAGTTCATCTAAAACCATCACAAATACAACTAGCATAATCAGCAATAGCACTTAGAGTTTTACATAAAAAGTTTTATTCGTGTTTAGCTCAAAATGCAAGGTGTTGTATTTCTTTGAATTCTTGAAGGGAACAGCACGCTAGACAGTATTTTTTGTAATTTGAAAAGCATGTTTCCTTGAGCTTCACATAGAAATACACTTGAAGCACCTATTGGAGCACAATTTTGAAAATTGTAATAATTTGTACTCCAGTCACGTGGCTTTTGAGAAAATTATTAGTGGTAAGGCAAGATCCAACGCAAAATGTCAGTTTTAAATAAAATAATAGAAGTTAGCTTCTAATAAATTCAAAACTGTTGCAATTTTTGTGAGATTTCAAAGCACCTGACACCATAAAAACTCAAATAAAATACTTACTATTTTTTAACCATTATTAATTTTCTCCAAGTCTTACTGCTATGATTGGAATATTTTTGTTCTTCTGTACATCTATGATTATTGTTTAAACAGTTCAACATCAGTGTTTGTCCGTACTAGTCCATAAAGTAAACTTCTGTACACTTCAATTAAAAATTATTTCTATTGTTTTTATGAATGTATATTTTCCATTAAAAATATTTGTTATTGTTTTTATATGACTTAGTAATTGACAATTTATAAATAAAAATGCAATGATCATACACTTGTTTTGTTACGAGTACCTTTTCCCTATATCTAAGTTTTTCTTGAGAAAATAGTACATACTTTGCTGTAGAAGTATGACCTTCTGCACCGAGGTATGTAGGTATACAAATTTGTCTGAAGGCTTGAGCTCAATGTGTACGAGAGAGAAGCGCGAGAAGTATCTATCAACACATGTTAGAAAGAAATGGAAGCCGGCTGAAGGGCGAAGGTCATCACCACACTGCGTATCAACGGTGACGCAAAAGACCGCGCAATTGCCGTGTTGCCAAGATGTTACATTAGGAAATATTTGCTCCGATTAGGTTACCTTCAAACCTGCGTGTACGCGTGGACTACACTCCCCAATGAGCGCTAGATGGGTACTGATTGACTAAAGTCGCTCATCAATGATCATGGAGGTGGAATGTACGGAATGCGGCATTGCCAAGTGAACAAATGACGCAATGTTGCGGAACTTGTGGCGATCCTGACCTTTCATTTCGAACTACAATGAAGCGCCATTATGACCGATCCGCACGGGTATTATGTAAAAAATCTATAAAAAGTAAAAAAAAATAATAAAATGTCATCTTGCAGACTAGGAAGTTTTTAGGGTGCAAACAGTCATTCCGTGTGCCCGCTAGGATCGTTGTGAGCGTCCATCTATGGAGGAATGACTCGGCTAAACTACACACACTGTTGGTTGCATATGTTGTGAAGCCAAGAGGTCTAGTTTTTATCTCTGAGAAGAAAGTTGGTTGAATAGCAAGATCGCATCTGGATGACTATGCGTATTGGTTTGCATGTATATAAGATAAGTGATATTTGCTGTGTGAGAAAATCGTCACTGAATATGTTGCCAATGAAGTATATCTCTTAGCTGTACTTAACGAGTTATTTGTGTTGTGCTTTCTGAAGAGAGGTTATATTCAAAGTTATAAATTACGAAAAACGAATTATGGGAAATCACCCCCGTGCCCGCGTTGCGTGTAATTGCTGTTAGCATGTACATGGCTTGTAATTGGACAGTGAACAGTAAATATAATTATTTCGTATATCTCTCATTTTTTAAATTCAACAAATTTGAATATGTAATTTCCAGAATGGATAAGAAAAAGTGGATGCGCAACTAATTTCTAGCTTTGAATCTCAAGTAAGTGTATTTGAGATAAGAATCCAATGGAATTATCATCAACACATACAATTTACAGCTTATACCTCCACTCATGCCATATCTGGAGCAGATTTTACATCGCATCAAAGCCAAACATTAATAACTCAAGCCTCATGACGTTTAGGCGACACAACAACTAAGTGCTAAGTTAACACATTGTAGAAAAACCTACAAAATGTCGAAAAAAACAGTAGAATACCAATATGTCACTTTTTAAGATACGTAATACCCGTGCCACAATCGATCCTAAACAGATTCGACACAAACCACAATTTAAAAATGTGGACGCTCAAAATAAAACCATTATTTGGGCGTAGAGAATAGACTAATGCATATTTTAATTCAAGGAACTGGCGTAACATATTGGCAACGCGGCACATTGCCGCGTCAGCGTTGTCCGGCAACGCAGATAAGCTTCGCTATCCAGCCGGCTTCTATCACTTTTACATATGTGTCTGTACACAATTCTCTCTCGTACACGTTGAACTTAAGCCGTCAGACAAATTTTTATTTCAGTGTAGAATTATTATCACTGCTATAGTTGTAGTCACCATTCTTGGCGGTTACGACATCAACGCCATAAGTAGGTACTGTTTTCATTTTCTTCCTGGAAATACTCTGATAAATTTAGCTCGAGCTGTTGGCCTTCTCCATTGGTCATATTTCCGGGCATTGTAGAATTTTATATTGAAGATGTCAAGTAAGTTGTCACTCTGACAAATATGATTGAAGGGCACTCATACGTAACAACCAAGTTTTCAAGACTGAGACATACAACAAAAAAATAGCTAGGTTGCATGTGTATCTACGAGAGCGATAGAGATATATGAGGGGATACTGATAGTCTTACTTTGACCCGCCAAGAATGGTGACTACAACTATATCTATCTTACCACATTCAATTTGATTAGACTTTGAAATAGTGCTTATCCAAACATTTTCTGAACACTGGCCTAATAAAGCACACACAATGTCTACATCACAGAACGGTTCATAGGAGAGGGATGCTACTACTACATAATAGAGTCCGAGACAGCTGGAAGATGCAACGTACGTCGACACATCAATCGTTTCTTAAATACTCCAATTTATCAAGTTGTACAAAATAATTAGATAAATAAATACAATCAACAACAATAATGTCACTTATAAAATACTCTTTTTTCTCCTTTAGTGAGCAATAATTATTAGTAATATTCAAAATTGGATAAAGGTTTTAATAGCAGTGACGGTTCTGTGACCAACAAGTCATTATCATTATAGGGTGAGAAATGTAACTTATCCTTAGAAAAATCTTCAAATGTTACACAGGTACCCCTCAATACGTTTTATATATAGCGGAGTGAGTTAAATCAATCGCATAGATGCCAGTTAAAACGAGAATCACTTTAAGTAGTTTCTACGCGCGCTATTCACGTCAAATGAAAAAACATAAGAGTAACATAATAATGTTACTGTCAATGCAGCTGGAAAACTGCTACGTACTAATAAACTCGACCAGTGAAATATAGTAATTTTTTCAAACAAATTCAAATCAAAATAGTCCAGGAGTGTCTTCGCATCAGCTGACGACGCCCCTGTGTTGCATCTCTCATACCTCTTCAGAATAACATTATACCCTAAAATGCTATGGGGATTTGAGCATAACCTACTTCCTTGACTAAACCCTAAGCAGCTTCCTCAATGATGCAAGGATCTAGAACAGTGGTCGCCAATTCTGGTGGCTCACAACATATTTTGAAAAGGTGTAAATATCATCGAAGCTTCCGTAAATTTTGTAAATTCTCATAATAAATACGAGCAGTGGCAACACTGCGGTGAGCGATCTGTTCCAGAACGATCTCGATTACTTTGAATGTAATAAATGTTTAAAACTGAACGGGACAAAGTCCAGCGGTTGGGTTAGAGTTGGCCTGCAATTAAAACAATTATGAGCAGTAGTAAGAAGATGAGGACATACCATTTCCATTCGGAATGGGAAGAACAATATTTCTTTACAAGTAAAAATGTATGTTTGTTATGGAATCTGTTTCCGCTGCTAAAAATGGAATATCGGGAGACACTATAAAACTACATTCGAATTTTGAAAAATCATTCCGATTACGTCCTACAATCAGAACGGAAGAACTGAAACAATTAAAAAATCAGTTAATTGGACAACAGACAATGTTCTTCAAAACATTCGACAAAAGTAAGGCTGCGATTGAAGCATCATACCGGGTGTCCCAGGTCACAGATAAATACACAAAAGAAGAATCCTTATGTAGGCAGGGAAATCATAAAACCGGCGTTTTTAGAAGCTGCAGATTCATTATTTGCCAACTTTAGAAATAAAGACGAGATACTGCCTGCTATAAAATCTATGCAACTTTCTGCTAATACGATGATGAGACGAGTAGAAGTAATGAGCAAAAATATAGTTTTACAGTTAAGTAACTTCGATAACGGTGCTTATTTTTCACTGCAGCTGGATGAATCCACAGATGTTGTTGACACCTCTCAGATGGCCGTGTTCGGTTTTTGGTGATTTTACGATTAAAGAAGATCCTTTGAAGTTTATTTCACCAAAAGGGCAGACTACTTGTCTTCTTCTTTTAAAAATATTATTTCTTCTGAGAAAATTCCAATATTAAAAATGGTAGGCTTGACAATCGATGGCGCTCCAGCTATGGTGGGTCGTGATAAGGGTCTCGTAACTGAAGATAAATATTCATTTTTATGTCGAGTTGCATTGAAGGTGAAAGCGTTATTTAGTTCAACCTATTTATGTGAATCTTCTTTTTCAAATATGAAGTTTGTTAAAAACAAATACCGTAATCGACTTACATATGAACATTTGGATAATTTTATTCGAATGGCGGTATCAAATTATACTCCAAACATTAAAAACAATTGTCAGTGAGTCTGAGTGTCAGGCTTCTCATTGAACACGCATTTTTTATGTGGACATGTTTTCGTTTAAAATAGTATGTGACATGGCCTTGTAGCTGACGTAAAAACTTTGTTTATTTTTCAAACACCTATGATTGGTTCGAATGGATGTAGTTAGTATTAGTTATCAATTTATTTAAGTTTATTAGTATGTATTAGTATTAGTAAAATAATCACATGTATGTCGCCATACAACTGTGTATAATTTCATTTAAGGTGGATTTGCTTACGACTAGGTAGCTCACTGTTTATTCCAAAATTATTAAAGTAGCTCAACATACTAAAAAGGTTGGCGACCACGGATCTAGAGATTAAGCTGGTATCACTTATACGTCGCAATTGTTCTCCTGAAACAAAGTATCATAATTATCCTCGTCTTTGCATTTTGGAACTAGAGAAGTCGTAGCCTCACAAAAACACTATAAAAATAATGCGTATTGCCATACCCACCTGAAGCTTGCGTCTTCAACAATAAGCCAATAGAGCGAAATGATTGTGTTAAAATAAGTCTGTACGTTAAAGCCAGTACATACCTGTTGCTTGTATATTTCGAAAAAGGGTGGATGTACAGAATACCAATCATCAAGTTATATTTACTAAAATAAGGCGGGAGTGCACATACAACCGCATGATTGTGTTGAAAATGGTGGATGTGCTTACATGATATCCTTAACATTTTAAAATATGCGAGAGTGATCTTTAAAAAATGCATTCTGAAATATGGCGACACAAAGCTTACTCGCACAAGCAATTTCATTTCAGAAACATGCATAAGATAGACATCCAAAGTACACTCATTAGTAGAGTAGCAAGTACGGTTTTCAATATTTGATGGTACCAATATAGCCTAAAAAAAAGTTTACGATTAATACGTGAATTAAGTTAAAGTCTACTCTGCCTTACTTCCTAGCCTTACTTAGCCCTTTGCCCAGAGAATCGAGAGGATCTCGAAGCAAGTACACTCGGATTCCTTTGAAATAGTTTGTAAAATAATCATCCCAAGAAATAGCATTTAGGTCACAGAAAAAGACGTCCCTATCTCGCACAGACATTCTTGATCGCATGGTGGCTATATTTATAGACCTAAATCGGAATCTGTTTGTGACAAAATATCCTAGGTCTTCGGAAACTTTATGAAACCTGTCATACAACTCCACCATGCTAGAATAAAGGGTATCACAGCAGACATAAATGATAAATATTGTAACAAACTATCATTTAACATTTTTATATAACCTTCCAGAAGAAAAAGGTATATACAGGGTGGCGCATCGAAAACGAAACAGTCGCATTTACTGGCAGCTCCGTTTTTTTTTGAAAACCGCTCAGACCAGTCGATTTTGTTTTCGAGGGGGACACAAGTTTGGCAAAAAATCACGTTTTCACGTGCAGCCCCCTAAGCAGGGGTGACACCGCCCCCAAAATCTTAAATGGAAAGGGGGGTCGAGTGATACCTTATTTTAAAGGTCTTTCAATTCCCTTTATAATGATATAAGATTAATGTACTTCAGTTCAGTAGTTTTGAAGATTTATTGATTTAAAGCTTAAATAAAACTATACATCATCATTAGTGGAGTTCAATACATTTGGCAGCAAAGTGATTTAAAAATGAAGAATGAACTGGCCCGTTAGGCAAGTAAATGTTGAAAATGGCCACCGTGACCCTCAATGCAATAATAAAGATTTTGCTCAAAACATTGCCGCACATTTTGCAATATTTGAAGAGTAATTTGAAGGCACTCATTCAAAATTCTTTGTCGCAGGTCTTCTAATGATGTTGGCTGAGTAGCATAGATTTTGCTTTTTAAATGACCTCACATAAAGAAATCCAAAGGTGATAAATCCGGCGATTTTGGATTCAATGGCACCTCTTCTACCAATCCATCGATCTAGAAATGTCTGATCTAAATATTGTCGAACACGTAATACGTAATGTGGTGGGGCACCTTCCTATTGGAACATCAACCTATTCGCAATGTACCGCCGATCATTCTGATTTTCAATTATGGCTGCTAATGCAGGATCTATGGCATCTTCCAGTAATTCCAAATACATTTCACCGGTCAAATTTCCAGGTACGAAAAAAGGAACTACTAAATGATCGCCAAAAATACCAGCCCAAACATTTAATTTTTGTGGCTGCTGTGTATGAACCTCATGATACATTCTGGGATTAGAATCGGAGCAATATCGGCTATGACGATTTACTACGCCATTTAAGAAAAAAGAACATTCGTCGGAAAAGCAAGTGTTGAATAGAAAATGTTCATCGTTTATAATTCGTTCACTCATATCTTCACAAAATTGTAATCGCCGATCAAAAGCGTCTTCATTAAGTTCTTACACCAGGTGAATTTTATACGGATGAAAACTATGGGCCTTTAGAATCCGTTGGACAGTACGTCGACTAACACCACACACAGTCTCCAATTTGCAGGTACTTAACGTAGGATCTACATAAACTTGCCCTAAAACTCCCACTTCTATTGCTTCGTTCCTTATGGCATTTTCAAAGTTGTTTTTTTTATTGGCGACTGACCCAGTTTCCCGAAATTGAGCTACAAGTTACTGTTCTCATGTCGTTCATTAAATATTTCTGCTGTTCTATTAGCGCACTGATTATTTCCGAAAAATATTTCGATAAATTCAACACTTTCTGCTGTGGAATATACCATGGTTAATTTATGTAATAGAGTGTTACAAGTTATTTTAGCAACAAAGTTTGGTCAAATCAATCGCAAACTATGTACTAAATTCCTGTTTAAAATAAGTACGAGATATTTCCTTATCTTTCTTCAAGAAATAACTTTTTTGCCACAAAAAAACGCTCCAATAGCTATTTTCAACAGCAAAATGGGCGTAGTGAAGAAAAGCATTCACTTATCAAGTAAATTCTTTTAGTCAAATTTCTTCTGAAAGTAGTACAAACTAATCTGATGTACCTATTAAAGTCTACTTTAAGCTTTAAATCAATAAATATTCAAAACTACTGAACTGAGGTACATCAATTTTTATCATTATAAAGGGAATTGAAACACCTTTAAAATAAGGTATCACTCGACCCCCCTTTCCATTTAAGCTTTTAGGATTGGTATCATCCCCGCTCAGGGGGCTGCACGTGTTACCGTGATTTTTTTCCAAACTTGTGTCCCCCTCGAAAACAAAATCGACGGGTCTGAGCGTTTAACCAAAAAAAAAAAACTGAGCTGCCAGTAAATGCGTCTGTTTCGTTTTCGATGCGCCACCCTGTATAAAATTTGTAGCGACTAAACTGATTCCAAATTCAAGATGAGATATAAATAATAACAGTTAGCGCGTGATCTCTCGGTAACAGGTGGGGACAACGCCTCTTATTGGTCAATTCTCCATTAAATTTCAAGCGGTCGGCTGGCGGAATAATGCGCGGCGCAGGGGCAGGGCAGGCAGAGTTGCATTCAGGCCACCGACCGTCGCGTGTATCACTGCGTGCTCTTGTTTTCGTATTCACCTTGCTTGGTTGTTGCTGTTAAGTGTATTTGGGTAATTTGTTAAGTTTCTGTTTGTTATTGTTATTCCTCGTTATTATTTGTTTTGAACCAATCCTGAACATGTCCAGTACATATACTGCTGAAGAGGCTGTAGGCTACTCCCTTAGCCCTCCTAGAAAGCGATCAAAAAAAGACATCTCAGCGTATACATGAAAGACGTCATATTGAATACATTCAAGATAGAGCGGAAGGAAGACAAAACATCAACTAACCCGAAAATAGCTCTGAAAGTGGCAGATAAAATTGGGGTATGCCAAGCGACAGTGTACAATGTTTTGAACAAGCATAAGAAAAAGCATGCCTTTTCCAAGCCAATGACGGGTAAAAATCGCAAAAGTATCATAAGATCGTTGGATGACGCTGACAAGCATGCGATTCGGAGGAAAGTGCACGAGTTCTTCTTCAGAAACGAAATACCGACAGTTGATAAAGTACTACGGCTGGTTAACGAGGATGCTATGTTACCAAATTTCAAACGTTCGACTATTCAAAAACTTTTGAAGCATCTTAATTTCGAATGGAAGAAACGAGGTCGTAATAGCTTACTTAGAGAAGAAATTGTTCTGTGGAGGAGAGAGTACCTGACCAAAATTAAATCATTCAGGGATCAGCACAGGAAGATCTATTACCTTAACGAAACCTGGATTAACGCTGGGCACACTACTCCGAAGGTATGGGTTGACAAAACTGTGACTTCATCCAGAAGGGCATTTCTAGATGGACTGTCTACCTGATTGAAAAATCCAGCAGGTAAATAGATCGAAGTAGTTCACGAAACCAATTTTTGCGCACAATATCTCTCTATCTTCGTACCTACAAGACGTGCATGTGTACTAAGCGGATTTTATCTTTCTAGGCAAAGGAAAAAGGCTCATTATTTGCCACATTGGGGGTGTAGATGGCTTCGTGGCCTTTTGAGTCAAAAAAAAAACACTGACTACCATGAAGAGATGAATGGGGAAGCATTCGAGAAGTGGTTTTCAGGCATTTTACCATGTCTCGAAGACAATTCTGTGGTTGTTTTGGATAATGCTCCCTATCATTCTCGCAAAATAGAAAAAATCCCAACTTCAGCTTCTAGGAAATCAGACATTCAGAGCTGGCTCCGTTCCAAAAAGATAACTTTCCTTTCCTTCCTTACTGAAATTACAACTATTAGATATTGTGAAACAAAACAAACCAAGACATGATAAATACCTGTATGTCATAGATGAAATGGCCAAAGCACACCACGAAACAGTTTGTTTGCCGCCTTACCACTGTGAGCTCAACGCCATTGAGCTCATATGGGCAGATATTAAGAATTTTGTTGCTGCACACAATACAACATTTAAATTTTCTGACATGCAAGAGCTGTTCACAACTGCTATACAGAGGGTCACACCAGAAAGATGGCAAAAATGTGTGCAGTATTTTCAGGAGAAAGTGGAGGAAGCAATGTGGGAGCTGGACAACATAATTGAGAGAGATTTTGAATCCATCATCATAAACATTAATGACGATAGCTCTTCAAGTGAGTCTGAGTAAGTTTCGCGTCTTTGTTTTGTCACAGAATACATATTATGGGAATCCTAGTTATAGTGAAATATTAACTTACAGATAAACTACAGACAATGCAAGTCCGAAGTGCACCTTCAAAATCTATTTTCAATTGATTGAACAGCCTTATATTTATTCCATGTACAAAAGTGTCATCTCTACCCCTCGTTGACTACGGATTCATTGTGCATAGTGAGCAGCTGGTTACCTCTGGTATGTATTCCTCCATGTTGTCTAGTTTGAAAAATCTGTAGAAAAACTTAGCACCCCTTCAAGAATAAAAATTTGATTTTTCGAAACCCTTAACTATAACCACTTCACTATATTAGATAATTTCGTTAAATACTGTCAGCTTTGTTTTACAACACGTTGGTGGTAGTCCATCATTCGGAGGTAGCCCTGAATGCGGCCCTGTACGCCGTCCTTGCTTTTGGCAATCACGCATCCATTCTATCTTGGGTGTAAATACACTGTAGTATGAAGTTTTTCATGTAATACCGGGTGTCTCAGAAAAGCGCTATCGAATGAAGTTCTATTTTTTTAAATGGTACATACACCCTATATATTTTCAGTGAAAATTATAGTTAATTTTTCTCTGATTCCAAATATATATATGGTTTGCTAGACCTGCTTTTATTACTTTAGTCAAAAACTTGAAGTTTGTGTGTCATTTATTCATGTCGTTGGTCTCCGCACGTACCAGCGTAACTAACATCTTACAAATTTTCAGGAGAGCTATAAAACGAAAATCAGCAATAAATAAGATTGAAAATGACATGTAGAACTTTATTTTGGGATGGTTTAATTTTGTAAAAGTGAAATGAGTTTTTAAAAGAAAATAATTATTGTACATTTACGCCACTTCGTGACAACTCTTGTTTTTTTATTGTGTAATTACGCCAACAATTTAAAACTGGACATGGGTATCAAAGTATCCAAAATACTTTTCAAAAATAATAATTGCTTTATTCTCTACATAATATTATAAGTACAAACAAAAAGTAACGTTTAACTTAAAATACACATTTCATTATGGAAATAATGACAGTCTTTAAACTTTAAATTACTTTTAAAAGTTGAACTGATTGTTTAGTCTTCATGGTGCAGAAAATAATAAAGTTGTTGCAATTGAGAAATACAGATAACTGGAGTTTCACGTTTGCATGAAGATATAAGATCCTCATATTTTTTCTTCGATACCTTGTTAAGTCCTTCATTCAAAGGTTTTAACGGCAAGTTACTTATACCCTATTTCACGAGTATCCATCACGCTATGACGTCTACCGAGTGAACAGCTGATCAGCAAGTGACATTTTTGTGTTCGTCTGCGACGTTGGCAGTAATGAATCGGGTGTAAATCTAGTAAAACTTGTTTGTAGCGTTTTGTTTTTGTATGCAACTGAACTTTTCCTAACAAAATAGCTGTTAGCAAGTACAAAATGAATCTGTAGCGTACAAAAAACCAAAACAAAATACTACCTGACATTGACGCATCCGTCAGAATTATCTCATGTGCCGATATGGGGAATTTTGAGATATTAATATATAATCAGCTGTCATTCTGCCGTGATGGTTACTCGTGAAATACGGTATAGGCCGCCCTTAATTCGATGTTTCAATACTAACCTATCATAATGGTGGTCTTGATGGCTGTATTAAAAAAAAGTTCATCCTGTTTTACCATTATCTTCATGATGTTTGTCGATGTTATTTAATTTCCTACCTCACTCTCTTTTACCGCTAACATCCGTAGTTCCTTAATATTTTGTTTAAGTGGACATTCACAGCAACACAACAATATGTATAGGTTATGTTTACATACTATTAGCGACACATGCGCCGGTACGTGCTGTATAATTATTATCGGTCAAATACAGAAAACTAGTTTTAACGCTGGGGCGTAAATCTATTTAAGCCGGTACATAAAAATTGTTTTCAGAATTTTATCACTTACGCAATTTTTTAAGAACTTTATTTCCAAGTAGCGAACTGATATACAGTTACGTCACTTCATAGGGTGAGAAATTACAAAAAAAATATGTGAAATTACGCCTGTACGTGCGGAGACCGACGATGTGCATGCGAGCTCGAACGAGTGAGAAGGTGATAAAAATAGGTTCAAGAAATCATGCATATTTGGAATCAGAAAAAAGGGAATTTTCCCTAAAAATATACAGGTATTCCATATAAAAAATAGAAGTTCATCCGATAGCACTCTTCTATACAAAAAGTATTACAAGAAAAACTTCATATTAGCTTTTCTTTTATGTACAACTTTTTATTCTTTACCTTTAGGAAGTCGTATAAAAAAGCTAGAGATGGGATCAATGTATAGCTAGACAGCCTGTACGTCTCAAAATACGAGTACACTACTGACCTTTGGTCCTTGCCCATACAGAACGAAACTACGTCTACAAAATACGCTGGTATCGTGTGAAGTAGAAACATCATCAATTTCATGTAGTAGAAGCATTTAGTTTGAATAACGAATGGGTGCCACACAGCTTGTACTGAGGGACATTCTTTCCCATTTTCGTATATTTTTTCCACCACACTTTCCCACCTGAGAGGCTAAAAATAAGAAATGCCTGTTCAACATCGATATCTATTTTGATACCCTCGTATTACTTACATTTTCTGTAGTACTTTCATAATTATAAACTTTTACTTGGGATCGCTCATTTTCTTGGAACTCAACCCCTACCTCCCAACAAGAGGAGATCAAAGCATTGACCACCATATCTGCAGGTACAATATCAGCTGCCAAGTTTTTATCGCAGTGAAATACTCTAATCAGTCCCAAAAATATACCTGCAATCACACCTGCTGGACCATGCTCGTTGTTGATCCAGCCATTTATTGGTTCTCGGTAGGTTGACATTACTAGAAGAAAGATAGATATAAATGAGGCAATAGACTCACTCTGGGTAATCGAATGTGAGTGACTATAATACCGTAAATACATATTACATTAATGGGAAGGTCTATGTATATACTCGTATATATACAGGATGGCCCATCCATTTTCCACACTACGAGAACGTTTTAAATCAAGTGGAGCAGTGGAATATAGTAAAAAATGTATAAATGATCCAAGTGTCACCAATGAGGCGAATCAGTTGGAGGTTCTATTAAAGTTGCAGGAAAATCCCCATTTAAGTGCATGGCAAATTGGAGCAGAAACTGATATATGCCGAAGTTCTGCCCAAAGGATTATTCACAAGCATAGGTATCATCCATATCACCTATGCTTGGAGTTTAGTAGAATAATGCTAAATAAAGTGAGTGAAGACACTACTTTCCTGGATAAGGTTGTTTTTGGCGGTGAGGCAACTTTGAACAGCATAGGTGTCGCCAACATGCATAATATGCACTATTATGCGACAGAAAACCCTTACTAGGTTAGGCAAATAGATTTCCAAAATAAATGGAGCTTGAATCTTGAACAGGTACAGATACTTGAATTTTTTGATCGAGCATTTGCCTTTGCTTTTGGAGGATGTCAACCTGCAAACTCGGATGCATATGTACTTCCAACATGACGGCGCACCGGCGCATTATCATAATCGTGTGCGTAACTATTTGGACACTTGGGGTAACAATCGTTGGATAGGTCGTGATGGGCCCTATATCTTGGCCTCCTAGATCACCAGATATGACACCGATGGCATTTTTTCTATGGGGCTACGATAAGCAAGAGGTTTATAGATATCCACCATCTACTCCGGAAAATATGAAGGAAATGATTAAGAATGCTTTTCTGAACATAAGGAAACACATGCTGAGTGATGTGCAACGGTCATTTATCCAAAGACTACGGCTGTGTATTCAACATGGTGGAGATATTTTCTAGCAGTTTTTGTAGATTGGGTCTTGGGTAGTGATAGTTATTTGTTTATGTTGTTGTTGTAGTTGTTTTTCTCTATTACGCTTGAAGCTGATTATACTGTTCTAATTGTTATTAGTTTTTACGTCAAATCTGTACTCTTAGTGGCAATATGGAACTAGCCCACTGTTTGTCTTTTGTTTCCATGGATGATGTGATTTTTTCCTTAATTTTGGTGTGTTGTTCTATTAAAATCTTAATAACTAAAAATCTAGTGATTTTATCTGGATCAAACCTTATACCAGAAAAAAGCTTATAAAAAATTATATCCAAATTTGCACAAATATACAGGGTGATGCATCTGAAATATTTGAGAAAATTTACAATTTGCGTTTTTGACCACCCTGTATGAGCAAAAATGAAAATTCGAAAAAGTAACGAACAAGATAAAAGCTGAAGTGTGTATTTTTTTTTGATACAACATTCAGCACTCCAGATTTCAAAATGGCGGATTGAGGGGTTGCCGAAGTGGACGGTTTTTCTGGACAAAACACCTTACATCTCAGTAGCTAATTACCAAAACCCCATAGCATGTTATATCAATCTTCTTCTTTTTAAAAAATCACAACTTTGATAGGTCAAAATTGGAACACTCTGTATAATTGCGAATATTTTATAAATGTGCCCTCAAATGTCGTGTATAACATGACATAAGTAGATTTTGAAAGAATGTATTTGTTTATGAATAATATTCCGTCCACACATGGATGGGCCACACTGTATATATATAAAATTTTGTCGAGGTACCCAACAAAAGGCGGAAGCTTTAATTTTTCACCTAACTGTACAATGACCACGTCTCAATATATATATATATATATAGTTTTAATTGCACATTTGGAAAGATACTATATTTTGCTTGAAGAATATTCAATCATCTTTTCTTTCATTTTATTGAACCAAAACACAATATCTCAGGTAAGGTTCGGCGTAGATCCGAAAAATACAGTGACATCAGTCCATATCAGCATGGCTCATTTCCTCGCACACTAGTTTTTATTCAATACAAATACAATGTATCCAAAATGACTCACTTCGCATGAAGTCATAAGTCATTATTTGTCATGTGATTGTAGTTTTGGTTAAGTGGTTTTCGAGCTGATGAGATACCATGTGATTACTAAGTACTTAAAAGGTTATGCATGAAAAGTCGGAGCATCAAAGTGACGGGTTGACGATCAATCATAGTGAAAACAAACGCCTGCCATTTTAAAGTCAGGCTGAACAATCAACCAAAGGTTGGCTGGGAAAAATCGCAAACGGTGACGTCACTTCAATAACGTTGCGTTCTGATATTTTAAATTTACGGCGTAATTTTTATATAACGCTCAAGTGTAGAATAATTTTAAATGCGTCATTGTGTAGAAATATGGACTGTAAAGAAAAATTAATAAACGATATTTGAATCACATGCATATTCTGTATTATCAACGTAAAATCCGCCTGATAAGTTTCAGATACATGTTGGTCCAAAACAGTTTTAGTTTGTAGAATCTTCATAAAAAACCTCTTTTCAACTATTAAATATTACTGAAAAAAAACCTTTTGCATATATCCAAATTTTCGAGAACGTGTACTTAACTAGTAAGATTCGGCAATAACACATTCAATATTCTTACTTGTTGCAGATCTGAAAATTCCAATAGGAAGTCCTTCTCCAAGTTCGTTGAGTACTACTTCAGATAATTGCTTCGTAAATACATGAGTATTTGGATATCTGTCCAGTAAGCTAAAATATTCAATATGACATTGTCTTTCAAACAAAACAAGATAGTTTTAGCTTTTAGAACAGTATTTTTTTAACCGACTCAGGATTCTTATAGTAAAATAGAGATCGTTACTTACATAGGTGTCATTTTCTCCAATAATTTATCAGGAAACTTGGATAACTCCAAAAAAGCTCCATAAGGAGCAACAGGTTTTCCCACCTTTTCTTCAATCTTATCTAACGTGAAGTTAGAGTACACGTTTGACACATATACGAAAGATTTCAAATTTGGAGTGTCCTTGGCTAATTGCAAAATATCTTTAGTTGCTTGTACATTTGTGGCCATTGCAATCTTAAATTTCTCTTCACAACGTAATGTGGCGGCAGCGTGGAATATTATATTTACCTGAAAATATCTTGTATGTTATCTCTAATATTACACAACTCGATGTTCAAACAACAAGCGCAGCTACGTAATAGTCAAGCAGAATCGCATAACTACCCTTTGTTGCGCGAGTCAGTAGACTACACAGTCGAGCAAGTTCGCAAGCACACAAGGCCGCGACTCGCACTGTGAACAAAATTAGATCGTGCGACTTTAGGTCCATCCAAAATTATAATTTTTCTTCAACAACCAATACCAAAATTAATTTTAGGATCAATTTAAAATTGCCGAATACTAACTAGCAATGCCAAGGCACCCCTTCCCTTCTTTCTCCCTGACTTTGTTTGGTATCTGGGCAACCCGACCTGACAGAATTACTGACTTACAAGACTTCAACCAAAAGCAAAGGTCCTACGGACCGCTCTGACAGACAATGACGAATAGAACAACTCGATGTGTTATTCGTATATGATGTGAAGAATAAGCCTAAAAATTCATTGGGAGCCGAAAAGTATACACAAATGTTTGATAATATTATAATCTACCGACAGACCAATTTTCAGAACTATTGAATTTAAAAATACTGATTTCTTCTGTATTTTTTTCCAAACGTCCGACTCACATTGTCTTGCAGTAGTTTTCTATTTTCTGTCGAGAGTCCCAGATTTGGTAATGTGCAATCACCAGCAATACCTACGATCTTTCGTTTAAACTTAGGATATTGACGCTTCAGTGTATCAAAAACACCATCTTGAAATATATCTTCTAATCTGGAAGAAAGAATAAACATCGATTGTTATCACAGGCAGCAAAAAGAATTGAAAGCATGAATACCTAGAAGGCATATCCTTTCCATTTTTCGATCTCACAATGAGGTATATTTTCGATAACTCGTTACAACTTCTAAGAAGTTTTTCTATCAGCAGCTTTCCGAGAAAGCCTGTCCCCCCTGTGATAAGAATATTAGCATCCTTGTAAAATTCCTGGATTGGGGTGAGTTGTGAGATATCAGGCTCTCCATCTTCCTGTTCCGTGAGTGATAAATCCATGTTTGCAATGACTGTAAAGAAATTTTATATGATGAACGTGATTCGCCACTGGCTACCGTCGAGTAAGACGCCCCTGACGATATTTAATTCCTTCGCCATCAGTAGGAGTGCATCACATTCCAATGCGCTACGCTCACGTAATCAGCGGAGAGCCGTAGAATGCAGTCAACCTCACTACACAGAGTTGCCCTATTGGGAGATTTTCCTTCAGACTTAGGAGCTTTGGGGAATTTTTGGGGGATATAATGTTCTGGAGGTTTTTGGGTAAATAAAATCTTTGGGTATTTTCGGGGCATTTTATTCAATTTTTAATCACGCAAAAATATAGTAACAATTCGATCTCCCTGTAGCTTTTTCTTTCCTCATTGTAGAACTTATCTCCACAAAACCTTTATTTGACAACAAAGAGTGAGAAAACGTATTTTTGGGATTCAATTAAAAGAGTTGACAGGAACGGAAAAACGTTTTATACAATATTCTTAGGTATTTATGAGACCTACAAAATACGACTACACGTAAAAAGATCCGACTAATAGCAAACATGTTATGGCCGAAAAACGAGGCAAAATGAAGGTTTTGTCACTTGGTAATGCGACGATAATTTCACGCAACTACTTGAAATTCTTCAAATCCGCAGGATGTATACTTCTAAATAACAACAATAAAATTGTAGTATATTGGTTAACTAGTTTTTTGAGCACATCTAATTGTTTATCCCAAAACACCTGCTTTCCGGCCATCACTATTAGTTTATTGAGCAATATACAGAGCGTTCGTTCAAAGAGCATTTAACAGCAAAATACACGTGTTTACTTTCCCGATATGAATCACAAACCATTACGAAAGATAAATGTTATATTTTTGCAAGAAACAAAGGTTACGTTTTTTCTTCTAACTAAACAAATTTAAACATTTCGTATTTGTGAGTAATTGAACAAATGTGCTACGATATTCGAAAAACATACGTTACCATACACATTTTAAAACAAAGCGGATGTGTCTATCATCTTTTGTTGCGAATTACTTACAAATACGAGATATTCGAATTTGTTTAGGAGAAAAAACGTAACCCATCCTTTTTTGGTTTGCAACTCAATAGGCAAGGTAAACTAGTCTATTTTGCTATGAAATGCCCTTTGAACTAACACTGGATATTGCTCAATAAACTAGTAGTGATGGCCGGAAAACAGGTGTTTTCACCAATCTATTCCAATTTTGTTGTGTTTATAAAAAAGTACGAAACCTACGAATTTGAAGAATTTCAAATATCTGCGAGAAACCTTCGTCGCGTTACCAACAAGTGCCAAAACCTGCAGTTTGCCTCAGTTTTCGGCCAAAACCTTTAAACTATTACTCGGATCTTTTTACAAAAATTGGTGTACCCATTTTATGCGTCCATGTTTTGAATACCCCCTTGAACAGCTGGCAGCAATAAAACCAGACCTAACAATTATTTCGCAAACCAGGGGTATTTTCGTCTAATATGATTAGACCACTAGTCAAAATCCAATAGTCGTTCAAGTGTCCGACTACTGGAATGGCGTGGTTATTATCAATTCGTTTTTTCTATCCAACCATAGGGACTATCAAACTTCTCTCTTGATTATTCAAACAAACCAAAATATGACAAAAGTCTCGACCAGTGGACGGACAGTGACAGATACCAAATAATGCAGACTATGACCAGTGATATTCTGCCCGACTATTGGAATGAACGAAATTTCATAGCATCCCAACTTCGATTCCTTGCCATTTTTTCACGAGACTATGAAATAAAATTTCACATTTTCACTTATTTCGGGATTAGATACCAAGAAGAAATAATAAATTCCATATAAAGGGTGTTATTCAAGTACGTGGACAAACTTCAGGGGGTGATTCTTTGAGTAATTTTAAGGTGAAAAGGGTGGCGCATCGAAAACGAAACGGACGCATTTACTGACAGCTCAGTCTTTTTTTTTGAAAAACGCTTAGACCCGTCGATTTTGTTTTCGAGGGGGACACAAGTTTGGCAAAAAATCATGTTAGCACGTGCAGCTCCCTAAGCGGGGGTGACACCACCCCCAAAATCTTAAAAGGAAAGGGGGGTCGACTGATACCTTATTTTAAAGGTCTTTCAATTCCCTTTATAATGATATAAAATTAATGTACAGTTCAGTAGTTTTGAAGATTTATTGATTTAAAGCTTATATAAAACTAATACATCATCATTAGTGGAGATCAATACATTTGGCAGCAAAGTGATTTAAAAATGAAGAATGAACTGACCCGTTAGGCAAGTAAATGTTGAAAATGGCCACCATGACTCTCCATACAATAATAAAGATTTTGTTCAAAACGTTGCCGCATATTTTGCAATATTTGAGGAGTAATTTGAAGGCACTCATTCACAATTCTTTGTCGCATGATGTTGGCTGAGAAGCATAGATTTTGCTTTTTAAATGACCCCACATAAAGAAATCCAAAAGTGACAAATCTGGCGATTTTGGGGGCAATTCAATGGCACCTCTTCTACCAATCCATCGATCTGGAAACGTCTGATCTAAATATTGTCGAACACGTAATGCGTAATGTGGTGGGGCACCATCCGGTTCGAACATCAACCTATTCGCAGTGTACCGCCGATCATTCTGATTTTCAATTATGGCTGTTAATGCAGGATCTATGGCGTCTTCCAGTAATTCCAAATATATTTCACCGGTCAAATTTCCAGGTAAGAAAATAGGACCAACTAACATAAATGAAAATACTAGCCCAAACATTTAATTTTTGTGGCTGCTGTGTATGAACCTCATGACAAATTCTGGGATTAGAATCGGACCAATATCGGCAGTTATGACGATTTACTACGGCATTTAAGAAAAAGGAACAATAGTCGGAAAATCAAGTGTTGAATAGAAAATGTTCATCGTTTATAATTCGTTCACTCATATCGTCACAAAATTGTAATCGCCGATCAAAATCGTCTTCATTAAGTTCTTGTACCAGGTGAATTTTATACGGATGAAAACTATGGGCCTTTAGAATCCGTTGGACAGTACGTCGACTAACACCACACATAGTTTCCAATTTGCGGGTACTTAACGTAGGATCTACATAAACTTGCCCTAACACCCCCACTTCTATTGCTTCGTTCCTTATGGGAGTTTCAATGCTGCGTTTTTTATTTGCGACTGACCCAGTTTCCCGCAATTTAGCTACAAGTTTTAGAACATATTTTCGATGCACGTTACTGTTCTTATGTCGCTCATTAAATATTTCTGCTGTTCTATTAGCGCACTGATTATTTCCGAAAAATATTTCGATAATTTCAACTCTTTCTGCTGTGGAATATACCATGGTTAATTTATGTAGTAAAGCGTTACAAGTTATTTTAGCAACAAAGTTTGGTCAAATCAATCGCATACTATGTACTAAATTCCTACTTAAAATAAGTACGATATGTTTCCTTATCTTTCTTCAAGAAATAACTTTTTTGCCACAAAAAAAACTCTCCAATAACTATTTTCAACAACAAAATGATGAACAAACCATAGTCGTAGTGAAGAAAAGCATTTACTTATTAAGTAAATTCTTTTAGTCAAATTTCTTCTGAAAGTAGTACAAACTAATCTGATGTACCTATTAAAGTCTAAGCTTTAAATCAGTAAATCTTCAAAATTACTGAACTGAAGTACATTAATTTTATATCATTATAAAGGGAATTGAAAGACCTTTAAAATAAGGTATCACTCGACCCCCCTTTCCATTTAAGATTTTAGGGTTGGTGTCACCCCCGCTCAGGGGGCTGCACGTGTTAACGTGATTTTTTGCCAAACTCGTGTCCCCCTCGAAAACAAAATTGACGGGTCTGAGCGTTTTTCCAAAAATAAACTGAGCTGCCAGTAAGTGCGTCTGTTTCGTTTTCGATGCTCCACCCTGTATAAGCATAGGTTCAGAAGTGCTTCATACATGTCAATTTTGGTTAGGGTGTTTTTCGGGACCCCACTGGATTCAATAATTTCAATCTAATTGGGGCTAAATTATCCCCTTACTGCCCTTAATAACATTGCTGAATTTGTACAAAATCAACTGAAAGTTTATTACGATATTTATTAAAAACCGAGTTTTAAAAAAAGTTTGACAGCCTAAGACTTGAAAATGAACCATTCCTGGACCTATGCTTATGAACTTTTCATCTTAAAAGTACTCAAGGAAGCATCTCCTGAAGTTTGGGCACCCACTTAAATAACACCCTGTATATAGATTATAGATTCAAGCACTCGTCCAGCCAGTGGTAGTATACTAGACTTAATTGTTACTTCAAATGTTAACATAGTTACATCTCATTCTGTTATTAACATGGATGACATTTCCGATCATTCCTTAGTTGAATGTAATACGGTTTTCGTTGCTGATAGGTTCGTTCCTATTTTTAGAACATACCGTGACTTTTCTAAATTTGATTACGATTATTTTGTTCATGACCTACTGCAGATAAACTGGCAAGCAATTTATCATATGCAAAATATTGATGACATTATTTCATTTTGGGATATTAATATCTCTAACGTCTTTGATTGGCATGCTCCGTATAAAACTGCTAGAATCACTAAGAGACCAGCTCCTTGGTGGACAGATAACTTAAAATTGATGAAACAGCTTAAGAAAAAAGCTTTTTTAAGGTATAAGAGGTATAAGACTCAGGAGACGCTGCAATATTATAAGAATTTAAGAAATTTGCTCAACTTCTCAATACAGTCTGAAAAGAAAGCATTTTTACAGTCAAAATCAAAATTATCTTCTAAGGAATTTTGGAAAGCTATGGACTATCTCAATATCCGAAACAGTCACTCTGACATTAATGGTCTGCAGTACGACCCAGATGAACTTAACAACTTCTTCATTGATGGTGTTCCTTCCACTAGTATCTCATCGGGCGTTGACGCAAGTCAATATGTATCTGATCGTAATATTAACAATGAATTTTCATTCCGTTCGGTGAGTGATGAAGATATTGAGCGCGTATTAA